GGAAATAGCATAAGGGGAAGTCTGGGGTGTTCCTACACCACCAGCAAACTGCCCATTTTGACCGTTCAAGCAACGGTGAAGCCAGTCAACCTGCCCAACCTCGGTTCTCACAAACACATGCGGAACATCGAAAACTGCTCTGCAAACTCTCAAATTCAAGTTTGCGTCCATACTGACCAACACCCAGTGGTTTTGAGCCCGGGGAGGAGGAGCAGACCTCCTGCACGCGTTGTCTCCTGCAAGAGATGGGGGCTCAGGTTCCTCCATCGAGCTCGAGCCGGCTGTGCACCCGGTTTGGGGGTGGCCGTCCCCAAATCATCCACATCCTGCCCCAGCGCCGGGCCCATCCAAGGACGGCAGCAACAGACCACAGCCCGCTCAGCTACGCTTTTAAGTAGAAAAACTCAGCAACTTCTCACGGTGGCGTCCTTAAGTCCCACGGTGGATGTCAACATTAGCACAATCTGGAATCTGTGCCCGCTAATCAGAAGGCAAATTTCACTTTCATTTCACTTTCGCGCTCATCGGTACATGCTAATAAATCGCACTGTCCATGAGCCTGCACCCAGCAGGACAGGATTTTCCAACCTCACTCTGGGCGCTGATTCAGTTTACCTCAAGGCACATTATACTACTGCCCTTTCTTTTACTAAAACCCTCCAGTTTGCCCCCGTATTTTGCTGCATTAGCACACCTGCTGGCTACACAACCCGTGCCGCACGCTGACCGCGCGGGGAAATGGGAACCCCGGGGTGATTTTCCTGAGGGATGAGGGAATTCCTGAAAGAATTTGGATTTTTGCAAGGCAGGGAAAAAAACTGTTCCCTGCTTCCATCCCGACTGCCGAGTCAACATCCCATGTTTCCAAAGTATCTTCTGCTGTAAATATTTAGCACAGCAGAACACAAGCCTGGTTTCTCTTACTGTTAACAGAAGTCATGAGTGCAACCCCCTACTCACCAAGAGAGAAGTTACCCCTCCAGCTCACGTGTAAAACAGGGCTTCTCAAAACCGAGTCATCCCAGTGTGGGAACACCACAGCTGACAGGAGAATGAAGAAGAAAACTCATTCTGAAACTTCAAAGCTGCTAAAGACACTCAGAAGTACAGTAACAGTGAAAAAAAGTGAGTTTTTCTTTCGGACATGAGCAGAGTTAACTTGCAATATTGCAGGCAGGAACACTGGAGGAGAGAGAAGCATTAGTTTTGATCAAGAAGGTTGTGTTTGCATACACTGAAAGAAAAACTACCATGGTCGATATAGTACTAAATATATATATATATATATATATATACATACATACACACACACACACATCATACATACTTTTAGTTGTTTTTTTGAAAATATGAACTGCTGAAGCTCAAGCTCATAGAGACAGACAAATTTCTAAAACCAAGCTTCATCTTCGGTTTACTTTTTGTCCCGGTTTACAGCCCTGAAGCAGTACACTCCAACTTTTTTTCCACAAACGACCCTATAACAAACGGACAGATCCCCAGAAAGCCTGTGAGCCCAACACGAGCACCCACTCATGATGTTGTACGTGGGTTAAAGCTACCGCAGCCTCCGTTGTACAGCGTACGGGCATCGAACACAAACAATTTGATTATTCCAGAGCTATTTGGATACTGGCACCCTCTATTCCAGCTCTATCTTCAGCGCTTTACTAACCGACAATGCCGACTTCAGTGACAGATGAACAAATCAATCCACAGTTTAAATACTAAAACAGAAGCAGGTGATTTCAAGTTGCTGTTTTCAGTTAGCCAACTGCTAACACTGCGTCTAGACTGCAAAATGGTGAGGAACAATTTTAGCTAGCATTCAGTAAATTAAAACTTTCACAATCAGATTTAGCTGAAATTCCTCATTCATATACATGAAATTTTATTTTATGTAGATATACACACACACTTAAAAACCTTGAATAAAAATTCCTCCTCTCCAAACACAAAACCATTACACTGTGACGTGTCTTGACTTTTAAACTCTGCCAGCTTCACAAGGAGCAGAATAACCTTAGGTTATTACAATTACTTTCATCTCATTAACAGATCAATTTCTCTCAAGCATACTGAAAACTGAATTTTACTTTGTTGCTTCTCCTTTTAGTCTACATTACAGTCTGTGTTCTTAAGTTTTAAGGAGAGCCATCACGGAATAGGCTGTAATCTCAGGTGATTAATTGCACAGCATTTTACAAGCTGTAAAACAGAGCAAGATCTCCACAAACCGATTATGCCATTAACCAGGCACTCTTATCAGATTTTTCTACAACTAGCAGGTTTGTCTGATGATTGCAAGTCTTAAGTATTTATATATTTCAAAGGTTTACTTATTTTTGTTGTTAAAAAACCCTAAAATCTATATTGATTGTTACATGCAATTCTACACGAAAAGTCCCAAGCACCATGAAGCAGAATACCAATATTTATTACTAGACTTGTGCTCATTATGGTTCCCTCTGACAAGGGTCCATTAAAATCAATTTTTATGTTTCTTATGTTTGGTTTGTTTTTTTTTTTTTTTTTCCCTTACCCAATGTTCTTACCGTAGTGTTTATTAGCCAGTTAGGAGAAACACTGGGCACTGTTTTCTTTTTATTTTATTCTGTCAAAAACAATGAGGCCAGATTTAACAACTATTCACTAGCGATGAGTAGAAGAGATTAAATGTTATACTTCAGCACAAACATTTACAGATGGCTTTAAAATTTTTAGAACTTCATCATCGGTAAAGACAAAAGCAAGTCCCACCTTCCACCTCTTTTTCAGATTTAAATTCCTAAAGTAATTGGAAGAATATTCTGCTTACCGTTAACTTCTGAAATACTCTTGAGTAATATCCCACCTACAATATAACAAGTTTTGCATATAAATCATTCAGTCTGCTAAGTTAAGTGTTATCAAGATGCCACTAAAGCCTCAACACTTCTGTGAGGCTGGGAAATTAAGGCAGCTCACCACCGAGAAAGCAGACAGCCCGAGATCAGATAAAAACGAAAGAATCAGGAAGAGGATCCAGACTGCCTGATGTTTGCCTGAAGAACAAGATCACCAGCTCCTTCCTCAACAAACCCACCAAGAGGAGTAAACGGCAGCCCCCCCAAAACGAGCTGTCCCCACAAACGTGACAGAGCAGCACAGCTCCCTCGAGGAGGGCAGTGTCCCCCAGGGGGTGAGTAGCAGCGTCTTTCCTTCGTGCAGGCAGAGGTGAGTAGCAAAGTACTTGGAGTACTTTTGGGGACACGTGAGAAATTTCCTGGGGAAAGGTCTGCGTGCCTGAAAGGTCCATTTCTTTACCCAGCCTCCTTGCTCTGAAGATACCGTCCCTAAAAGTTTTGTTCAAAAAGAGAAGGCAAGCCATCAAGTGAAACATTCAAAACCTCAACATTAGTAGTCAAACACAGACCTTTGCTCTTACTTCTCCAGGAGAGCTACACAAACACACCCAGTACAACACCACCTCCCCATCTGCCTTTTTGGTCTCTACCGATGAAGATTCTGTAACTATTTTCTTCCAATAATCTGCCATTTCACTATAAACCTCTATTTTTTTTAGTACCCACAACTTCACAACTGTTTTTCTTCATGCTGTGTCTTCAGCTTTTTTTTCTTCATGCAATTCACTTTATGCCTAGCATTATAAAGACCACCACACAATTTCTCATATTCGCCGCCTCTGAGACCCCGCAGACTTTTCTTCTACTGTTCTTCACCCGCTCACTGACATTTCTTCTTCTCACAGGTGAAGAGTCCTCGTCTGCTTGTTCTTGAGGCAGACGCTGCTTTGCAGCAAAGGCAAGCTTCGGCCTCATCCTAAACACCACTTTATTTCCATTCCTCATCAGCAGAAATCCAATACTGAAATCAGCATATGCAGATACTGAAGTGCTTATTTCCATATCACTGGAGTTGGCAAAACTGTCAAATCCAGAGGCTTGAGGGTTTAAACATTAGAGGCAAAAACATGTTTCAACCAGAATACACATCACGCTTCATATTCCTGATTAATTTCACACACACTTAAATTACAAGGGTAATAAAATAAGAAAACAGAAAAGGGGAAACCTAACAGATCAATGGGGAATTTCAAATGTGAAAAGCAGGGGAGACAAGGACAACATGGAGAGAAGGAAGCCAAACCTGTTTGAGTCTTGTCAGAAAAAGCTCTGCTGTAACAGACTGTGGCAAAGACTGCAATTTTATTACCAAAAACAGCTGTTGAGACCAGCCTTAAGTAAGTAGTGTTAGTAACTTTCTTTCTGGCAGAGGAATTTGGCAAAGAAATTTGGCATGTAGTGATTTTGAAAGAATTCAGTGTTCCTTCTAAAAACGCCCCTGAGCATTTCCTCACAAATAAGGAAAAAGCACAGACCAGAGATCTGAAGAGGACAGATGTTATTAGATACTTTATCGGATACTTTAGCAGATTGAGGAGGTATTGGTACGTTTTACTGTTGCATGTAAGTGCTGTTCAATCAGTCCTATATTTGAGAAATCATCTCCACTGCCATGTATATCATCTGTTCTGAACTCCAGAAGACATTACAGCAATGGAAAACCAACCAAAGCCCTCACAAGTAATAATTAAAACAATTACTCAGTCCTGGTTCTGCCTGGTGGAACATATATATCTAGATATAGGTCTGAAAAATTTGCAAAGTATGCAAGGAGGTCTCAATCCTCTCTGACAGCTTCACATGTGTGGCCAAAATGAGGGGGGTAGGATGCACTTTCAAAACCTGCATTAAAAATACTTCCACTTTGGAACATTTCTTTGCTAATACTGTTGATGCAGCGAAGAAGGAAATGCATTTTGGAGCTGCTACTCCTTAAAGGTACTTGGAGGTTGCTTTTGCCTCTCACAGGAGCAAGCACCGCGTTGCCAGTACGGCCAGTAAAAACAAATACACGCAGTCGTGTCTTAGAGCCTCTGGGCAATCTCTTTCCTCTACCACATACATAAACAGAGGAGCACGAGGACGTGAACTTACCCACTTGGCAGCACGCTCATCTGGGGGAGTTTTATTTCATGTACGCCTGTTTCACACCCAGATATCTTGAGTTTTCCCACGGGGCTAAGCAGAACCACGTGTTTCTCCTTGCACTGGGGTTCTCCCTGTTTGGAAGTCACCTGTTCATGAAAACAGATTCCTCTTTAACTGCATGCATTTTCACCGAGGAACACTCACCTCAAGATGTTTTGAGTTGTTTTCAAAAGCAATTTTTACAAAAGCAAGAAAACAGCATATTTCAAGTTTCTTCAACTATGGCTTTTACTTTCCAAACTCCAACTTAGAGTGATCCATCCTAAGAAGTCAGCATCTAAATCAAAGTCTCAGAAAACATGTTAACTAGAAGAACAGTGACCTTCACAAAACTCTGAAGTAATAGCAGTTTCACGGCTGGTTTGTCGGCTAACATCTGATGTGTTTTGAGTGATTTCAAAAGGATTATTGTGACAACAAAGTATATTCACTGGTTTAGAGCAGCAGTGTTATGCAAATAACTGCTAGAACATGAATAGAATGTCTGCTGGAAAAAATATATGAAAAAAATCAATCATTCCTTAGTAAAAGAAACATTTTTTTATTCCCATTGTTACTAGTCTGGTTTTACGATTACTGATAGGATGGAGTTGGAAACAGATGCCAAGCATTTCTCAATATTGTACAAGACCAACAATAACATACTTGTCAAATTCATCTTGGAAAAAAAAAAAAAAAAAAACAAAACAAAACAGTCTGACTCAGTGGATGTTTGAGTTGCATTTACAGTTTGGTTTGTACAATCATTAGGAGAGAAACAGGACTGACCACCACAAGTATGTCCACTGCAGTCACCCAGAACCAAACCGCAGGGTCAGATCACATCACCACCGGTGCTGTGCAGCCAGGACAAAAACCCCTTTGCTCCAAAGAGCTAAATTCAAGTGAAACTGGAAAAAGAGGTGAACAGAACAAAGAAACCCAAGGAATTGTAAGGCAGCACAAGCTAACACAATCAAACCTACATCCCAGTTACACTGAGACCAACAAGTTTTCTTGGTTTTCAGTCACTCAGACCATACAGCTAACTTGCAGTTTGCCTTACACCCGAAAAATTCTCATTACTCCAATATTCAGAACCAAGAGTCTCCACAGGCAACTGCGCAAACTTATTTTCCCCAGTATTTACCCAAGTTCATAGCCTACCCCAAAGTGCTCTGCAGTCCACCCCACCAAGGACACCTACGTCTGCCTACAGCAAGGGGGACGATGCTGGAAGCCCGAGGAAGTGTCAGATGAAACGCAGAAGTGATGAAGAAGGTGGGAAGCGACTGAAGAGCACAGCGACAGACTGGGGGAGCACCAGGAGACAGGAATATCCATGCATGCCAACTTACAGCTGACCACTGCTTGTGGCTCTACAATCTTTTTTTTTTTTTTTTTTTTTTTTTTTTTTTTTCCAAAGCAAGAGGATTTCTTTTTAAGTCCCATTATTAAGTGCGATGTAATGAAGTCCCGTCTGCGAGTAATATAATCAATGTGAAGAGAACAAAAAAAAAAAAAAAAAAAAAAAAAAAAATCAAGTAGACAGTTTTGCCCACCAGGACAAAAGTAAATTTAATCCCGGGAGTTTTGGGAAGCACTTATGCAATTCCCCAGTTACAGACACACAGCAATCAGAGCAAATTTACACAGCTCGGAGAAGTTCTGTGCAGTGCACCAGACTTGAAGAACTGCAGGTTCCTAGAGGTTTATTGGTTCATTTAGTGCGACTGTAATCCGAATCAGCTTTTTGCTAAATGATCAAACGTTTGCTGGTGTTACAAAGAAACTCTCCCTTTCGTCCAACTTCTTCCTCGTTCCTTCTCCCTCCTCAAGAAGAGGACATGGGTGAACTCTTTTTTGGAGCAGCACCTCACTGCAGAAGTCTCAGGCAAAAAAGCAACACAGCAGTTTACACATGTGGAAAAGCAGCTTAAGTTCTTCATTTTTATTTGTGTGACAGCCCTAAACTAGATGCACTGAACCTCACACTGCGTACTCCATGAATATAACAACTTAGTGATAAGAGGACAGCTTTTTCATTATAACAAAATACAGGATGCAGCAAGTAACAGAGAACTATAAATAACCCGGTGAGTTCACACCAAGTTGAACTAAGCTTTATAGATGAAAACCTTGAGTGACTACAACTAGCGTTTTCAGTCTTGTTTATCACACGCATTGGGCAGCCGCATTTCGAAGGTTTATTGTCATAAAGGAATGAAACTGCATGACATAACATCTACGTATGTATGGAACTGGGTCGGGAGCCTCAAAGGTGAAGGTCACCGCTCAGATGTACAACGCACGCTCCCTCCCGTCCAGATACTGATGTGCCTTTTCGCTGCCTACCTACAGCTACTGAGATGAGCCTGAGGAGGTCGAGGCAACAATACACTCCTGCAGGCAGTGCTGCTGGAGAAGAAAGCAAAATTTTATTCAAGACTGAAATTGCAGCAGTTTCCAGATGCAAATAAACGGCCTTTAAACTCGGCCTGATGAAATCACCAAATGCAGGGACACCATTTACCGGAGGCTGGTGGACACTGAAAACCTGCTCCTGCCCACACCCTCCCAGTACAGGCACAATTTGCTCAGCACCACCTTCCCCGTATGCCCTCGCTGAAGTTGTGAGAACTAAAAATGAATGGCAGCTTAAAGCAAAAATCTAATAAATCCATATAAACTGCCTTCTGCCTTTTTTTCTCCGGCTTACCTAAATGACTAATTAGAGGAATTTTGATCAGGTACTGCATGAACTCCACCTTCATTCTCCCCTTCCACTGTAATACCTACAAATCTGCGTCAAAATCTCTCATAATTATGAAATTTATTAGGTAGAAAAAATAAGACTTTTAGAGAGGAAACTTCTCCTGCCATCCCCTGGAGTCTTGCTACAGAAATAAAAAACTAGGTGCGGGGTACGTAAGTCTGTATCTCACTAGACTGCTAAACGCCCTATAGAAAATGGGAAGTCTGTTGTTAGCCAACGGAATTAAGTCTTTCTTGTCATTAATAACAGACAAATTTCTAAAGGTTTTCAGAGTGGAAGATTTATCAGTAAGAATATTAGCATGATTTATGAGTTAACGTCCTGTACAGAGGAGCCTCATTTTCCAGGCGTGCTCCCATGACTTTGCAACAGCACGTGCCTCGGTGGCACCACGCTCCTCCGAAGGGCGAAGGTCCCCTAAATTACACATCAACTCCACTGAACACCACTAGGAATCAGAGCTGCGCCGCTCAAATTGCCTTCCTAGGGTTCAGATGCTAACGATGGAAAACAGCAGCGAGTTTTATCTCCTAAACGAGGTGCCATGAACCCAAAAGCCGGCATTAGCTTGATGACTTGCATATAAGGATCTTAACCTCTTACGCTTTCCACTGTAATTCAGTTTAACAGCCTTGTTGCAGCCAAGGTTTTCAGGACTAAAACATACCTCCCATTTGATTAAATACAGATTTTATTTAAATTTGCATTAATGGCCTTTCACATTACAGTAAATAACTCAAATTATTTTCTATGTTCTACTGCTCCTAATCCCCCCACCCCTCCTCCAAATTCCACTGTAGTTTGGTCTGAGATGCTAGAATCCAATTCATATCCACAACAGGGAATGGATACATAAAAAAAAAAATGCAGAGAAATCTCAAGAATCAACATTGTTCAAAAAAATCCACAGCAAATTGTTTCCATGCTTCATGTTCTCCCAAGAGGTTTGTATTTTCCAGAAGACAAGTCAAGAGAGCAAACCTCATGGCATTTCCTGTGCTTCAGCACCGTGCCCCAAATCACTGTTGCTGATTTGAAGGGGAGAAGGAATGCAAAATATCTTCAAGAACGTAATTTTCCAACTTCTCCTGTGGCCTCCTCTTAAAGATCTCAGAGTGTGTGCGTGTACCGTGTTAAAACCCAAGAGACCACAGATTTCCACTGGAAAAATGCAACAGTACAGCCCGTGGATGCATTTGCACCCACTGCAAGTGTTCAGCCCCACCAGGAGATGAGAAATTATCTTAAAACAAGTTCTGTCTGAAGGCTGTGATCAAAGTGACCGAAGATGTCACCTTTTCACACGTTTTTCCTTCAGTATTACTGAGCACAGGACTCCTTCCCATCGGGAAGGAGCCACAGCCCCTATCTCTGATGGATCTCCCTCTATATAGGTTTTTCTATTTCCTTCACTCTGCTTCAGCAGCAATATAAACCCACCATGCCATATCAAAATATTAATGATAATCCCCTCCGCCACCGCCTGCATCTGATTTAACAGGGTATTACTATTAAGCTACAGCATGTGGCTGAACTTCAAATGGAAGTCCTCGGGATTTTTCTACTTGAATATTTCGGAGAATTGAGGCACAAATAACATATTCAACTGCTAAACTTAAACTAGTGTGTCCTCACACACGCTGCAATTTTATTTTTTTGAACCAATACAGTCCAAGTGCATTAATCAGTGAGATGCCACAGTTGCCTCCGAGAAATGGGTCTCTTGATCCTTTCCAGTTAACAGAAAGTGTTAATTGCTGAGCTACCTGATACTGTAAATACAAGCAACGGGATGAAATCACGTTACAATTCTCTCCTCTATTTCACTTGCCATTTCTCAAACCCAGGAATGATCATAGTTCTACCATTTCTAGACTAGCCGCTGCTTCACATTTGAAAATTCTCTACTGAATCCTTCCACACCACCGAAGTTAGTTATTTAAAAATAAAGAACCCACCCAGAGGCCATACTAGGTTTCTCATGCAATCTTGCTGCCGTGTTGGGTTAGGATATAACTGCATACTGGCTTCAAAAACTAAAAATAATTGTCAGCACCTATTGTCCGAGAAGAATCCAAACAGCACCATACCTGCTAGCAGCACAAACCGTAGGGTTTCTTAGCTGTAAAAGCTGAATTTCCCGACTTATTTATCCAATAAGCTCAACACAGTTTGAGGGTAGTTTTACTAGGAGAGTGCTGATGCTAGTCCATCCCACTGAAGCTGTGACAAACTACCAACTTGTTCATTATTTACTTCCTATTCCTCATAAATATATCCTAGACTGGTCACTTTGATGTTCTGACATATTTGCATCAGGAAGCTAGCATA